CTCCTCGCGCTTCATCAGAAAATCAAAAGAGAGCGCGTGAGGGGCGGGAAGCGGCTGGGGGCGCCAGGGGAGGCGCTGGTTCCGTGATGCCGCACTTGGACCGAATGGAGGCTGCGGTTGAGGGCCAAAGCGAGAAGCTTGACGGGCTTGTCGAGATGGTTGGGCGCAGTGCGCTCGCAGCAACCGTAACCTCACTTCGGTGCACCGAACCTCGCGGCTGCGATCCACCCAGCAATGTTCCCGGGCCAGCCTCCACGCTAGTCTGGAGGCACGGGACTCGGAAGTGGGGGGGTATCTACCGGGCGGACACCGGGTATAGCTGGTGCGCGGTCAGCGGCTCCACCCCTTCAACTCCCGCTGAGAGCCAAGCGGAACTTCCTGGATTCCGCTCGGAGGGGCGGGGAACGGGAAATCAGTCTGCGGGGAGTGGAAGCGCGCCCCCCGGATCCGTTCGAGACGGCGGGATCGCGTATTCCTCGTCGGGGCGCCAGTGCTTCGACTTCCCCCTAGAACCCCTCACGCCCGGCCTCGGCCGCCCAGGTCGGACCGCCACCACCACACCCACGCCGGCTGGGACAACCGGCACCACGGCCACCGGCGCCACGGCGCGCGATGATACGTTGCTCTGCGTACGTTCGCGCAACGACCCGGCTGACGCAGCATGGGGTTTGTCCACAATTTCCCTTGCTCGTAGCCTGGTCCTTCACCGAGCTACAGTAGTGTAATGCACAGCGAGCGCGGTATGGTGGTCCTGGTGCATTTGCAATGGAAAAGGGGTGTACGAGCAATGTCATTTCGTTGTAAGCCGCGACGGCTGGCGGCTTTCACGCGCTCGAACAACCTACGTTACCACTCCCATTTCTTGGTGCTTCGAAATTTGAGCTTAGGCAAATAGACCAAGAGCAGCATGGTGCGACAGAAAACCTTAGGCTGATCCCGCACTTGGCCGCTCTTCCCCTTCGCATCTTCGCTCGTCCCTCACAGTCTAGCCCTAGGGCACTGCCGCCAAGAAATAAAAGTAAAACGCCACGAGGTTGGCAATACATAGCGAACAACACACACCCGCAGCCGAGAAAACGGTAGCTAAACCCAAACATTGGGAACTCGTATCCTACGGGCGGAATACAAACACAGGTTACAGACAGACCACGTCGAGGCACCAAAAACAAACAACGATATCACACTCACCAACCACTGCATGTAGGGCATGCGGGGGAGAACAAGACACACACCCAACAGAAACA